CCCGGGGGTGGAGGTACGGGGGCGGGGCACATGACGAAGCCCCGCCCCCTGCTTCCGGCCGCCCCGCCTCCGGCCCTCATTCAGCCAGGAGGAGGCAGGAGAAGAGGGAGGGTAAGTTGCTTCCTCCCTGCCTCTCCCCACCCCTGCCTGCCTGGGGCCAGGGAGGGCCTTCGCGGGGCTTCCTTGCACTCCTGCCGGCCTTGCAGGTCCACCACCGGGCCCCTCATCGGGCTCGGCAGTGGAGCTGCAAGGCCGGCGGTGGCGTCCGGGACCGTTGGGGGCCTTATGACACACTTCTGGTGATGTCAGGGGTGTGGCATATGCTAATGAGTTCCCCTAGCTCTTTTTCTACTAAACGACCCCTGCATCTAGGAAACACTGAACCACTGTGGAGGGGAAAGGACCAAGGCTTAGGGTTTTACTTGCACGCTGCTAAACTTGAGGGACAGAATTCGCATCCGTCGCACCTAAACATAGCCACGCACACACACACGAAGAGCACTATGACTGATACGATACTGTGTATTAACACATGGAATTCACTGCCACAAGCTGCTAAACTCGAGGGACAGAATTCGCATCTGTCGCACCTAAACATAGCTCACGCACGCACACACGAAGAGCACTATGACTGATATGATACTATGTATTAACACATGGAATTCACTGCCACAGGAGGTGGTGGCGGCTACAAGCATGGACGGCTTCGAAAGGGAATTAGATAAGCATATGGAGCAGAGGTCCATCAGTGGCTATTAGCCACAAGGTATAGATAGGGGCTCTGGGGCAAGTGATGCTCTGTCTTCTTGGTGCTTGGGGGGGGGTCAACAGTGGGAGGGCTTCTAATGTCCTGGCCCCACTGCTGGACCTCCTGATGGCACTGGTATTTCTGGCCACTGTGTGACACAGAGTGTTGGACTGGATGGGCCTTTGGCCTGATCCAACATTGGCGTCTCTTATGTTCTTATGTTCTTAAACCACTAGGCCATTCAGGTTTGACCCAGAGCATATCACTGATGAATATACAGTGGAGGTGAACAATAGGTTTGACTAGATTTGATAGACAGAGTGCCTGAAGAAGTATGGATGGAGGTTTATGACATTGTACAGGAGGCAGCAATCACAGCCATACACTAAGAGGGTGTATTTTAGAATTAGAACTTTGGCACCCACTATTCAATTATATATAAGGAGAGATATGCAAAAGACCAGGTTGTCGCAGCAGTTGTGGTGTGGGCGGGACCCGGGCTTTGCCTTCTGATTGGTGGCAATATATGCTGAGGAGCAGTGCCATCAGCCATACACTAAGGGAGTGCATTTTAGAATTAGAACTTTGGCACCCACTATTCAATTATATATAAGGAGAGAT